CATTTCATCATCAGAAACTGAACAAGAAAAATCACTGAGAAATTTGAAATGTCCTGGCTGGTCCTGCCGTTGTGCTTTCAGCTCCGATTAGCTTCTATTAGTGCCAGATATCTCCTGTTATCTCTATTATTGTGTCGTTCCATCTCAAATCATCAAAGGCCTTCTGATCAACTATCTCTGATTTGCTTGAAAGTTGTTTTTCACTCTGACCTATATCTAAAATGGCATCTGTGAAATTTAAGCTTAATATAGCAAAAACTTTCCTTTTTTAACAACCCAGTTTGAGCATTGATTCAGAATCTACAATACTGGACAAGTTGATCAAATATTCTCCGGTTATGGGTGAGTTGAAATGTGAAAAAAAAAATTAAAGCTGTCATGAAAAGTCCCATCTTATGTAGTTGCATATCTCAATAATTCAAAAATACAACGTACAGAATATTTTTAATATGAAATACTTAGTGAAAAAAAGGAAAGCAACTCAGGCCTCTATCTTCAATAGTACCTGAGATCTTGTCATACAAACATAGCATCAAATTTTAATGTGCAGAAAATCATGCTGCCAGTGGGTCAACTGGCATTAAAAATATATCTGAGAAAGTACACGATATGCTGAGGAAAAATGTTACAACAATCTTACTCTTAATTATCCATAATTTCTGTCATAAATAATCAGAAATGGTCGGGCAGAAATGTCATGATTTGACATTGAATGGCCCCATTAGGAAGTAGAAGCCCATCATCTTTAGGTGGGAGAGTTTGGGTCCAACTTGACAGAGGTCCCAGGACAGAACCAAGACAGAGCAGGGATTAATGGTTCCATCTGTCGGGAGCATGTGGCCAGGGATCTTTCTTAGCCTTTAGAACTTAGCTGCCACCTCGACCTGCAGCCTATTAGCTTCTATTAGCTCCAGAGGTCTCCTGTTGTCTCCTTTTAGCTCCAGATATCTCCTGAGACCTCAGATTAGCTCCTATTATCCTCTGTTGGCTGTACTTGGCTCTTGTTAGCTTCTGTTAGCGTCCTTTAGCACCAGTTTGGTTTTGCTAGCTCTTCTTAGCTTTTGCTAGCTCAAGACAGCACCTGCTATTTCCTGTTAGCTACAGATACCTCATGATAGCAGCTGTTATCTCTTGTTTCTGTTCGCTTTCATTAGCTCCAGTTTGCAGTTGATAGCGTCTATGTTTGTTCCAGCTAGCTACAGGTAGCTTCTTTAGCTCTTATTAGCTTCTGTTAGCTCCAGTTTGCACAGACTGAAGTTTAGCTTGTCATGCAAATATGACGATTCAGTCAATTTAACAGTGTTGCTGCTCTTTACATCCCAGATCCTGACAAAAAATGATTTTAAATGACCAAAGGTAGTTTTTTTTTCCCCTTAATTTCTACAGAGTGCAATATAACCATGCTGCTCCTCTGATGCATTACACAAATAAACACAAATTACCACAAATAAACATGCATTTTGTTTTGTCCACTCGCTTATTTTCTCTTTAGAGGTTAAAGTAAGTCAAACTAAAATAGACATAAATGTATGTGTGTTTTCTCACCTCCTGCTCTGTGGAATAATACCAAAGGTGATGACCAGCAGAGCCACCACTCCGACCCCCGTCACCAGAATCAGCACCAGGAGTTTACCTGCACAGGTAAAGAAAAGTTGGAAAAGCTTCACATCTGCAGGGCTGCACATTTAATCAGAAAAGAAAATTAGATTTCTTAATTAGATGCTGCTGAGGCGAGGCGGTGGTTCATGTTTGTACTTTTTCACAGTTATACATGTGAGAGAAATGTGCTTAATACACTTAAAGAGAGCAGCTTCACTTCTCTGGCCGTGGCCTGAGAACACCTCAGCAGGCGTTGACAGGTTCAGCCGAGGCCACAGCGTTCCTCTGATCTGTAACACCTACCCAATGGCTCGTCTTTTACTCTTGTTCTTTGTTTCAGCTCTTTTTCAAATTACTGTTGACTTATAATTAACTAAGAACAAAGCGCCTTTTTGTCTGCCTAAGCATTAACACTATTACACAAACAATAAAAAACAATAAAAATGTGAAAATAATTCTCAAATAAAGAAAAAGAGAAACAAAAAAGTAAAAAAAAAAAAGCCAGATGTACAGTTAAGTTCATAACTACTTAAACTTATCACTCTAATACTGTAATATAATATCAATAAATTGATAATATGATGAGCAAAAGTCTCAAAAAATAGTTGTAATATTTAGAATAAATGTATGAGTTGTTTATTTTATGCTTTAGCATGTCAGCTTGTGTCAAAAGGCAAATTTTACCTAAGAAGTAAACATCTACAGCAGCTAATTTAAACTCGGGTTCATTAAAGAAATTAATCAAGTAATAACCCATTAACAGCACTACCTTCAGTGCAATAGAAGGCACAACATCAACGCTACCAATCACAAGAGCAGGGTGGTCATGAGCATCACTGTCGTCATGGAAACCTGGCCTGTGGGCGTACCTGTGGGCGGCCTGGCGGGCATGCTCATTAACAGCGTGGAGCTCCATTTGCTCCACAGGACGGAGGTGTGCGACCGACAGCGAACTCGGACCACGTAGTCGCCGACGGGGAGACCGAGCAGCTCCACACGAGGCTCACGCAGAGGATGCTTCACCTGCAAACAAACAGACATCTATGTGAATTTTCATTTGACCAACCAGCTTCTTCTGGCTGGAAATGACATAAACATGACAAAATACAGTAAGGCAGTGTTTTAGAGACGTTAATGACCACTTCTGAACTATTTCTGTGAGAATTTTAATCCTCCTTAGTTGGTGCCCACACAGACCAGCCTTCTGCAGAGTCTCCTGGAGTGTCAGGCTGAGATGTTGCTACCAGAGCTGCTCACATTCACCAGGATGGATGTTTGCACTGCAGACACTGGGACACTTGGATATGGATTCATAGTATTTTACATCTTGTGAACAGCAGCAGCTTTGTCTAAATGATAACAGAAAACTCACAGAGAGCTTTGGTTTTATCCATGACTTAAAACTGACTAGAAAACCGCTGCATCACCTGCTTTCAGTTTACAGTAGGTTAGAATAGAACAGAATAGAACTTTATTGATCCCTTTGGTGGAAACCTCAGGGAAATTGTTGAAAGTTCTTTGGTCAGATGAAATGAAGCTATTAGGCCACAATGACTAGAAATATGTTTGGAAGAGACATAGTGAGGCCTTTAACACCAAGAACACCAAACCTACCATCCAGCATGGTGGTGGCAGCATTATGCTCTTGGGCTGTTTTGTTGTTTGACTTTACATATTTACCATTTAAGTAAATGGAATAATGAAGAAGGAGGATCACCTCCAGATTCTTAAGGACAACCTAAAATCAACAGCCACAAGGCTGGAGGCATTTGGGTTTTCCAACGAGACAATGGCCCCAAACACACATTACAAGTGGCAAAGACATGGCTAAACCAGGCTAGAATTAAGGTTTTCGACTGGTCTCCCCAAAGTCCTGACTTAAACACCATCGAGAACCTGACTGTGATGAAGAAACAAGTCTGTGTCAGAACACCAACAAATTTAGTTGAACTGCACCAGTTCTGTCAAGAGGAGTCAATCAGAAGCTTGTGGACGGAAACCAAACGTGCCTAGTTGAGGTGAAAATGGCCAAACAATGTTTAACGAAATGTTTGCATTGCTGTATGTATACTTTTGGCCCATTAAATCCATGAAAGAACTAAAAAGCATTTATTCCAATGATTCCATCATAGATCATTAACAGTCACTGGAAACTCAAGACTGCCACGATATACATGATCTGAACAAGTGTCAGACACTTTTGTTCACAGCTGCATATTGGCTTCATGTATCATTTATCGATCTTGATTACTAATAATAGGAATCAGCCCAAAAAAAAAACAACCAAATCAGTCAAACCCTTGTAGATCTTCGACACTACATTTATTTGTGTCTGCAGATTTTACATTTAATATCCAGATAAATATCCTGAATGTGCTACTGTTAAAAATGCTTATACCACCTCAACAAGAAGAAGATGATTTCTCTGCATACCTTCCAGTTGTCGGGCTCAGTAATGCGTCTGTACTGCAGCTCGTACACCAGCGTGATCCAGCCGTACTGCAGGTCCGAGGGCACCGGATACCTCCAGGTCAGCAGTGCGTTGTGGCCCATTTCATCCCCGCCGGCGTCTGTCAGCGTATAGGTCAGGTTGACCGGAGCTTCAGCCTGGACTGTCCAACACGCAAAGACACACAGAACACGTTGTCAAATGTTAGCAGGTGGTCAGAAAAAAAAATCATCCTCTCCTCAAAAATGTTCTTTTCACTTCTCCAGATTTGCCTTTTTCATTTCTTCCTCACTGGACATGTGAATGAAGTCATGTTGTATCTTATAGGTCTTCATATATGCAGAGAACCAGACATGTTCATGATCTTCTCAACAAAGCAGTGCTGTGGTTGGTAATGCAATGACATAATATCCTCTATTATTTATGCAGGGAAGCCTCACAATGCCATATTTATGACCGTATTTATTATTAATTCTGTGCATTCAGCCTGCTTATTCACACTCATGTAGACATGTCATCTGTACAACATAAAACACCATCAAGGAACTTCCAGGAGTCGCCAAACAGACACAAGCTCCTCCTCTCCCCCATGAAAACCTGAAACACATCTAATGGGCTACATACATAGATATTCTTACTCCTAACCTTGCCACATGTCTGTAACCTGTTAGCTATGTTTGGTGTTGATTAAACTGAGGAGATTTGGAGCTACAGGCTCCAGCAGGAATAGAAAATCTCTCCCAGACATCTCCAAGCGTTTCCGTGAACATGCAGAAATCTTACGGTTCATTACAGTTCAACTCATTTTCTGTGGACGCCGGTATTCACAGTGTGTTTACATGTGAATCTCAGAATTATCAGCAGATGACGAGGGGTGAAAGGATAAACACGCCCTCCCTCACACACTTTTTATGTTTACATGTGCACTAAAGGCAACTGACTGATAATAAAACGATCACACGTTGCAGCTCTGCAGCCCTGAATGTCACATCAGTAACATGACATTTGAGTGTAATCTGTGTCAGACACTGAAACTGTGACCTTTCACTTGCGCTCCAGTGGGCATGACGTCGACGACGTTATCTGCAGAGGCGTGGGCCGATCACCCTGCACGGTCCAGATAAGAGCGACGTCGCTGACCCCCCCACGACATCTGAGACGAACAAAAGATTGCTACGCCGGACACGTGGACGCCCGCCTGAGGCTGCCGCACACATGTTGGTGGTGTGTAAATCACACACACGCCTGCTCCTTCACATGACGCTGTGCTGCCTGTCAAACCTGCTCAGAAACACTGATCAGGTCTAAATCTGCAGCGTGTGAGCTGCTCAGCTACAGGTAGGAACTGCTGTTCTTCGGAGCAAATGTTTATTTACATTTTGCTAAATTATCACCATTAAAAGAGGCTGATTCACCCGCTAGTAGGTCCAGTTTACGGTGTATCGTGTACAGCAAAGAAATATATATATTTTGGAAGAAATTTTTAACTTAAATTTTTGGTTTGGTTACTTACAGACAAAAAAAATCTGAGAATAAAGTATTAATTTCCAATAAAGACCAAAACTGTCCAAAGTTTTATTCGGCCCGAATGTAGACATTTTTTTTCATGTGGATTCCTGGCTCTGTTGTTCATTCAAATTGGAACTAACTCCAGCTCATCTCCCTGTAAACACACGGCGGGTTGTCCTCTAATCGCAAGGTTGGCGGTTCGATCCCCCGCCCCTCCACAGTCGAAGTGTCCTTGGGCAAGACACTGAACCCGAATGGCAGGCAGCACCTTGCATGGCAGCTCTGTCGCCATTGGTGTGTGAATGTGTGTGTGAATGGGTGAATGAGAAACATTGTAAAGTGCTTTGAGTGCTGCAAAGGTAGAAAAGCGCTACATAAGTGCAGACCATTTATCATTTACACTTATTGGGAGCAGAACAAATTAAAGCCGGCGAGTCCTGAAGGCATTTTAACATTTGCACATTATTTATTTTTCACTCGACTGCACATGGAGACACCTGCTGCTCTGACTGCAGGTCTCTGCAGCACCGCAGGCTGTTCGGCCGGTTGGCTGAGCATGAAGGCGCCTTTTACCGCCACTCAGAAGGAGCAGCCGCCTTCTTATCCTTCTTTCTTTTCTTGTGTCTTATTTGTGGTTTGATATTGTTGCTGTTGTGCTGGAAAATCCAACCACAAAAACAGAAGATTTCGCATCTCTAACATTTAGTTTTTGAGACGTCCTGCTAAACAACAGACATGAAACGTCACTAAACATACAGGAGTGCTGTTCTGAGTTTGGCAAAGGGTGAGAAAATTATTCTGAGACAACACATGTGGCTACATATGCATATGTTCTTACCGATCTCTGCCACGTCCACGCAGTGCTCCTGGGAGGTGTAGTTCCGGCGGGTGGTCACAGCGGTCACGTTCATGCAGTAGGCCCTCCATATGGACGTGTGGCTGCTGTCGAAGTGGCAGCTGTTGGGGCCGGCGGATACGTAGTCTGGACATTGATGTTTGGGCCCCTTCCTGCCAACACAAGAAAAAAAGATGGTCTTTTGACTTCCAAAACGAGTTCTAAACAAATCTAAAACTATTTTAAAACCAGCTGGAAACCAAGTCCAAAATCAAGTTCAAAACCAGTTTACAACCAGTATAAAACTAAGCTCAGAACGAAGTCTATAAACAGCTTAAAACCAACTCATAACACAGTCAAAAGTAAAGACTGTTCAATCACCCTAAAACCAGACCAAAACAAAGATCACATGCAGAGGCAGAAGGTTGAGGAGGATTCGGGTGGAAATGCAGCTTATTTCCAAGTTTGTCAAATCTGACGTCGTACTGATGCTACAAACTGCAGCTTTCCAGTTCAGGCAGCTGCTTGTGATGAACTTCTCCTTTGTTTTTGCTTCAAGTTATTGAAATTGACTAATGTTTGGAAGCTTTTTTTCCCTTTAAATACAGTTAACAGCCTTTATTTAAAGCTTCTTTAGATGAGATGACAGCAGAGTGAAAAATTTTAACAGCAAATGAAAGCTTGTTAGAGTCGCCTTTATGTTTAGAAGTGGTTACACAACTGTGTCCAGAGGCTCAGTACATCTAATACAACATTTACTAAAGCACAAACCTAACTGGTGAGATGGGTGGGCAGGCGGCAGCTTTGTGCCATTTGTGCCAAATACTCGGTCCTTTTGTTATTTATTTTAATTGTTTTGCCTGAAACAGTCAAATGTACTGAAATGTTAAGAAACAGCCCTGAGACGTACCTGCAGAACGTAATCAGCAGTCACTTTTCAAACCACTCATTTATTCCCAGCGGCTGTGGTCATTTTTTAAACGAGATAATCTCTCAGTTACATTTGTTTTCCACAAACAAACACACAAACTGCAGCAGGAGAAGGAAGCAGCGATCGATGGAGCCATGAGTGGCGATGCCATGTGGGGTCAAAGGCACAATCCAATCTGTCCTGATTACTGGCAGCATTATTTTTTGCCTTGTGGGCACACTGCCATCTGACTGAGGCCACGTGAGGCCGCGTTCAGGATTTCAGAGCTGCTCTGAAATATCGACGTCTTAAGAGCTGCACGGTGAAGTGCAACACGAGAAATCAAACTGGCCTTAAACAGCAGGACTCATATGACCCAGCGTTTTCTGATGTTTGCTCACTTTCTGAGGGGAAATCCTAAAGCTACTGTATGTACTTATGTTTGTATTTTTTGTTACAGACGGAATAATACAAAATATTTTAAGCCAACTTCAATCACATGAATCATGTCTGAATCGTGTTAAACATTAAAAGAATACGTTCAATGAACCCTCTGAACTCCTTCAAGCTTCACTGAGGGCTCATTTCTACTGAATGGTGTAATATTGGTAACTTAAACAAAAAATAACCAAAATTATTTCAACCCACCAGCGGGTTTTGGGATTCAGGGCTTTTCTGTGTGTGTGTGTGTGTGTGTGTGTGTGTGTGCGCTGTACATACTCTATGGAGTAGGTGAAGACGTAGGTGACCTCCTCTCCGTCCGCCAGACTGTCCAGCGGATGCCACCAGCAGGTGAAGTCCTCCATGTTGGGCGAGCGGCAGAAGTAGATGTGAGGCCTCGTTGTCGTGGCAACCGCCTCCCCTGTGAAGAGCACAAAGTCGAGTCAACGGCGCCATGGCGACGGCGACAGGTGTTTTCATGCATGAGCAAGTTCGCATGCCCACGTGTGAGTTACAGGGAGGTGAGAGGTTTGTAACTGGAGTTGCAGGCGTTAATGAAGTGGCTGTAAATTATTCTGCAACGATGCCGATAACCGGTTATGTTGGTCGAACTAATTCTCTGATTCCAGCTTCTTACATGTAAATATTTTTTAGTTTCTTTCCTTCTTATGACAGTTTATCATCTGGGGGTTTGATCAACATTTTCATTTTTATTTATATATTTTTACCATTTTCTGACATTTTATTGACCAAACAACTGACAGATACAAATAATCTAGACTGGAAATACTCATGAGATGCATCCTTACATGCAATAAGAGCCATATTAGGCTCCTTTGTCATGTGGTTATAGTTTTAGTTTTGGGGGCTTTTAGAATGTGTTCACAAGCTCAATGGTTCAAAAAGCTTTGGTTTAAACTATGCGTCATCATCATCAACTCGTTTGTTGAATAGTCTTTCCTGAAGTCAACTAAGGATTTTTTATTCATGAAGCCCAATTGCCTAAAAGGGTCTTTACAAACACAATCCAGACCTCACACTGGCAGATTAAAGGTGGATTAGATTACAAGAAAAAAACATGCATTAAGCATTTCTTAGTTGGAAGTAAATAGAGAGATTAAAAACTACTAAATAAAGTACAATGGAAATTCAACCTGCTGTGACTCTGTCTTCGTTTGTTTAACTTTACAAACCTTTTATTTCCCTTTTCTTCTTTCTTTTATTTAAATGAATCATATCTGAAAAATATTTGCACACACATAAACAAAAGCAAATTGTCATATTTCATTAATATCACTCCATTCTTCGTGTCTTAGTCATAAATTTGCCAAAAATAAAGTGTCTGTTCTGACTAGATGCGATAAAAAAAAAAAAACATTCACTGCTCCTCGGTGGAAATAAGAAGCCATTATTAACTTGGCTGCAAAAAACAGTCACATGAATCCGGGACTTTTTGGCTTAACTGCAGGCTGAGAAGAAGAGACAACTAAGAAAATAATGCAGAGTCACGATCTTTATCCAGCGTTGGTAAGACTGAACGCTCAGTAAGTAAAAATCAGTAATTGTTTAGTTAAAAAAGTAAACAGTAATTCCGTTTTTCTTCATAAACAGTTTAAAATCCCACAGTTCCTTCTGTTTTTACACTTTCTTGCTCTAATAAATACAAGATTCATATATATTTTTTTAAAACAACATACCTTTCAATTTGTTTTTTGGGGGTTCGGAGGGTTGATGATAAGTTCAAGAACCGTTTGAAAGCGGGAAATCCAAAATGTTCACGGTTTCTGGCTGGTAAACGGTGTCACTGACATTTTAACAAGCCTTTCAAACTCATCGACGGGTTTTGGAGCTCAGAGGGTTAAAAAGGAGCCAACTAAAGTGCTTTTCTTTGATATTTATTGGATGTACAACCAACGTGAACTGTAAATCTTTTTTTTTTTTTTTTAGTTGTATTTGTTAGGTTGAGGCAGTAATAACACAGTCATCAACGTGGAGACGCCATCATGCGCCCTCGGTTGATGAGAGCAGCGGGAGTGCAGCAGTAATCCAGGAGAGAATGCACGGAGCAGCAGGAAACAAAAGGCCTTGTGTTCGCTGTAAGGAGCTCAGAGAGCCGCCCTGCAGGGTCGCTCCAATCAACAACTCCCACTTCTCAGAAACAGGAAAGGACGCACGCTGGGCGCCAAGACAGCCGCACAAACTCATAGCTTCTGCATATCACCGTGGATACAGTGAGGCGCATTCACTGCACTTAACAGCATCAAGGCGCTTATTGTTAGAGAAATTAATTATTATACCGATACTAGTCGTTCTACATTAATACATGAAGATATGGAATGAGGACCATAACACTGTTTGAACTGTTTGACATGAAGTCCTGCACCTCTATGGAAACAGAACCACTATGACTAGAAGACTAGAGAACTGAGAAATGTCTTCTGTGCAGCATGAATGACAGAAATCATTTAGTTTGATCACTTATTTTACAAAGTTTGAAACAAGTGGAATCTACACGTCCAACACGTCCAAGTGTCCACAGGTGGTAGCAACACTGGACTAAATGTGACTCTACATACAGAGATTTAACTGCTAACAGTTGTAATTAGTTTCCTCTGCTCTGTGTAAACACTGCCTGCAGTTCAGCTGAGTCACTCGTGGAACCTCTCTTAAGCTGAGGAGCGCTGAATTGAATGTTTTTAGGTTTTTAACAGAATGTAGTTCAAGCAAATGATTTTATTTTGACGAATTCTGAAATGAAACATGCAGAATGAAGCAATTTTTGCTTTTATTCATGCTATTTGTTAATTACTGTCTGTAATTTAAAGGATTCGTGTATCATTTGCAGCCTGAACATTTAATTTCTTAAAACATTTGACTCCCACATGTCAACAAAATGAAACAAGAGTTTTGAACCCAGCTTCATCCCACGTTCAGGTTTCAGTTCTGGAATGCAACGTTGTTGATGGATAATGCCTCATTTGCTTAATTAAAGAAAGCATTTCAGAAAACTTGTCACACATAAAATCAGTGTCCTGTCTTACCAGCTGAGGAAGCTTCATGGTGACACCTGTTAGTTAAACACCTTTAACCACAAACAAGTCACTCTGTCCACCAGAGGAACTTAATAAAGAGAATAAAACAGACGAGGTGCAATTTACTGAACCCTGAAGGTGTCGTTTCCATGGCAACATCAGCCACTCAGCAGCCTGACAGCCAATACATACTTTCTTGCGCCTTTCATAACTGTGACGGGAAAAAGCAAGCAAGCAGATGAAGAAGAAGAAGAAGAAGTGGAGCCTCCAGACGTCACAAACGAGTCACCTCCGTCCTCACAAACAAAATAAACTTCAGCCCAACATGCAAATAAAAACTAAATCTGACCAAACAGCGGCGCATGCTTGTGCAAACCGAGTGTAGAAAAGGTGACATAAGAGAAACCAGAGTGAGGCTCAGAAATGAAAGCAGCTCGGTTCGTGAGTCATCCTCCCTGCTGAGGTATCGACGAGCTGCCGACACGTCCGTCTGAGCGGAAATAAATGGGCCAACTCAGCCGGCCGTCAGACGAAGCTGCTGCTGCTGCTGGATTTATTTTTAATCGCTCACAAACTCGGTGCGGAGGTTCACTGGCCTCAACGTGGAGCAACAGCAGCACATTCACTGGAAAGTTACCAAACTCAAATCTGTATCTCTGCACATTATTATCAACAACAACACACACAAGCATCAGCCTGAATAAAACTAATCAAAGGTGCTGATCAGACCTAAGGTTGTGTCGAGGATTCATCCATTAAGCTGCTGGTTTCTTTTAGGAGTCATCACCTGTGAAAATACATCTATCCAAACTACGGAAACCTGAAGAGGACATCCAGTGCTGATTCATTCTAATCATAGGAATGTGAACAAACGTATTTTTAATTTAGTTTTTATTCATTTAATACTGTGAATTAATACGTAGATAAATGAATCTAGATTTTTTTCTTAAAATACGCACCATAAAAAATAATATTTTCTAACCGCTTTTAATTGTAATGTTTTACAAATAATTAGCAATTCGCAGAAAAAACATCAATTTCAATTAAAATCACAGATGCTCGGATTCACAACCACCGACTGCTGCACACAGCGCTGGAAATGTATTTCTGCATTCATCTGAGTCATTAAACATAACAGAAAAATCGCACATTAACGTCAAGAAATATTTAGCATAAAATGAGTAAAAAGTTCGACCTGTTGGCTGCAGAAAGCAAAAATATGAACAGTATAACTGCTTCAGATGTGAACAGTAGTTTCAGCTGAACTGCAGGCAGCGTTCACACAGAGCAGAGAGGAGACAAGTATGGAGACTAATTAAAAATGTATGTACCGTAATTTTCGGACTATTGAGCGCACCTGAATATAAGCCGCACCCACTAACTTTAAAAAGAAAAAAAAAATGTAGGCTGCACTTATCTATAAGCTGATCTAATTAAATACGTACTGCAAATGCTTTTTTTTCCGAACAGTGCCTGTCGTGAAATAAAAAATACAGCCGCCTACCAGGAAAAAGTCATTGATCTCTATCTTCATCTTCCTCCTGCGCATTAAAACCACTAAAGTCTTCAGTGTCGGAATTGAACAGCCTCAGAATTCCTTAGTCACACACGTCCTCAGTCTCTCTTTCGTTGTTGCTCTCAATGTCACATTCCTCTCGAGGCAAATTCGCCAAAATCCATAAATTAGCTGCATCTTTGTTAAAGCCGCAGTGTTCAGAGCGTGTGGAAAAAGTAGCGGCTTATAGTCCAGACATTACGGTAGTTGAATAATTATAGTTTGTAGAGTCAGTATAGAAAGAATAGTGGGATCTTGAACTTCCTGACTGTACTTGAACTACTCATCTGTGACGTGCTTGTTATATTTCATCAAAATGACTTTATTGCACATCTCTCGGTTAAAACTTCGCAAAAATAAAGAGTAAAAATCTGTTTGCTGGAACCAGAGTCCATAAAAAAACACAGCTGTAAAAGCGTTAGTGCCTCAGCTGCAGCCTGACACCTACTGAGAAAGGTTTCAGCTGAACTGCCAGCTGTTGGCACTTTGATTACTTATTAAAAAAATAAAAAACTTGGAAAAATCTAAGTTTTTTTTTAAATGATTTCAGTCATTCTAACTGTGTCGTGCTGCACAGAAGACATTTCTGATTTCTCTGTCCTTCTTCGTGGTTGTTCTGTTTCCATAGAGGTGCAGGACTTTATCTATATTTACAGTGAACATAAATGTAACGGGAGCAACAAAAACGCTTTAGGCTCAGAGAGTCAAAATACAGCAACTACACAAAAACTGTAAAGTAAACCTTAAACATTAGCTTTTAAACTCACCATCATTGTGTTTGTCTGTATGAGTGACCTCCTGGGCGACGATCCTGCTGCAGGCGACCAGAGGAAGCAAACAGAGCAGCAGCCACAGCATCCTGCCGCCGTCTGTCAGCCTGTCAACACAAACAAACAAACAAACATGAGTTCTGGGTCGAGAAAACCCCTCCACACCACCTGTAGCTCCCACAGCGCTTCACTCACTGCGACAAAGTCTAGTTTCCATGTGACAGCGTCCAGCAACGGGAATGTGAGGCAGCGACGGCGGGACAGGGAGCTTTGATGGTCCTGCAGCGCTTCACGCCGAGCTCCAGTCATGAGACACATCACAAGGGATGAAACCCCCTCGCCTCCTCCTATTTCCCATCAAACCAGGCCCCCATGACGCCGCTGCCTCATCAGATAATGAGTGCACGCATTCCGAAAAATTACACTTTCTTCGAAGCAAAACGGACAAACAGAAAACCTCATTTGAGTGGATTTTTTTTTTTTTGGAAACTCCTTCCAGAAGGTTCCTGCAGTCGTCAACAGCAGCGGCAGAAAAAGTCCAAAAACATGTTTCAAAGTGGGGATGAGTTAGACGTGGCACAACAAGAATGGAAAGATGGTGCGTCAATACAGAAGCCCACTGGAGCCAATGTTAAACTTATACTATTTAATTACTCATTGCATTCAACTGGCACTATTACCGGCACATAGCAGATGGAAAAATGTAATGGAAGGTGACTACGAAACAAAACAGAAGACAGATTGTGTTCATGATTATACAGATCAAGAAATTATCCAGATGGACTGACGTATTAATCATCAAACTGACTTTTTTTAAATTTACGATCGTCTTCTGTGTGAAGCTAAGCCAACCAGCTGCTGTCCCCACCTCTTTAATAAGAACACAGTACTTTATTTTTAGCCCTAAGATATATACATGTTTATTTAATTAACTTGCTCAATTAAAAAAAAAAAAAAAATCTGAAGAAAAATATAAGCTACCGTTGTCACTTATATAAAAACTTTGAAAATAATTACAATAAAAAACAAAAACAAAAACAAAACAAGTCAAAATGACAGTAAACTGAATAACTTGACATCTGTCATCTTGACATTTTAGAGACCAAACAGCTAATTAATTATTCCAGAAACTAAAAGGAAGATTTCTGATATTTGCAGCTCTATAATATATCGTCTTCCATTTAGATCAAAATAAAAACAGCTACATCTGCTGCAGACTAATGCTAATCCTTACATCCTACATTCAATTTACTTCAGTTCAGGTATGTCCTAGATAATTAAGACTTTAGTAACGTGTTGCTGTTTCTGTTGCGTCCTGAGCGACAATATTAAAATCTAACATAACTTGCAGCTACGGTGTATTTTGCTCTTTGTAAGCTGTAATCAGAAGTGTCTTCGGCAAACCTGCCTGTCATGTTCTAAATTCAGCTCCCCAAGTCGGGATCAGGAGCCGTCGGCCAAGAAGCCTCCTGCTGTGACTCAGTAAAGCTCCTGCACAAAGCGTCTGACCGGAACTTGACTTGCAATCTGGCTCCTGGTGACCTGCAGTCACTTCACACCAGTTAATGCATGAAACGTCACAAACTTCTGCTTCTTGGACTGTTGCATGTTCATGCTCTGAACAATCGTCCCACAAAACAGAACCTAAAACGAACCCTCGTTGTAACCTCTGCAGCGTAAGAAGTCACGTTGCCGTCGGTTATTCTTAGATTTAGATGGTTTCATGTATCAGGGATGCTGGGATGTAGAAACACAAAGAAAGTCCTGATTTTGCTCTCGTTCATTAGGTGGTCATTTAGTGTCTTCGTCGCATCTTTTTCCGCTTTTTTTTGTCACTTTTTAACATTTTGTGTCTCTACTTGTTTGTTTTTTCTGTGCAGCTTTTTGTTTCTTTTGCATCCCTACATGGTCACTGTGTGTCCATTTCTAGTCATGTTTTGTCTTTGTGATGATTTCGCATCTTTTTATGCTGTTTTGTGTCTGTTTGTGGACATTTTGTGTTTCCTTATTGTTGTTTTGCATCTCTTTTTTGTCATTTTGTGTCCTGTTGTGACCACATTGTGTCTTTTTGTGGTCATTTTGTCATTTGCAGTAATTTTGTCTCTTCTCGCGGTCATTTTGTGTCTGTTTGTGGTCATTTTGTGTTTCCTTATTGTTGTTTTGCATCTCTTTTTGGTCATTTTGTGTCCCGTTGTGACCACATTGTGTCTTCTCGCGGTCATTTTGTGTTGCTTTCTGGTGATTTTGTGTCACCCTTCAGTCATTTTTGCATCACTTCCTGGTGGTTGTGTCCCTTTGTGGACATTTTGTGTGTCTCTGTTGTTGGTTTGCATCTCTTTTTTTAGTCATTTTGTGTGTTTTTGTGGTCATTTTGTCATTTTACGTTACTTTCTGGTGATTTTCTTTCCAGATATTTTGTGCATCTCTGTCGTAATGTGTTACATTCTGGACATTTTGTCTTTTTGTGGTAATTTTTTGTTACTTTCTGGTATTTTTGTTTCACTTCTTGGACAATTTACATTCCTTTTTTGACATTTGTGGTCATTTCGTGCGTCTTTCTGGTCATTTTTTTCTGGTAGTTGTGTGTCTATTTTTGGTCATTACTCCATCTCACAATGTTCACTGTAATCCTGTACATTTGCCTTCTTCTCTCCTCATTTCTTTGTTTAATTCCCTCCTTCTTTCCCTCTTCTCCACTCGTCCTGCTGATGTTGAACTCTCTGACAGCTGTCTGAGAGTCAGCCAGGGCCAACAGCAGCAACAGCAGCCGCGACGCATCGGGAGAAAACAATAAAACCAAATCCGCCAGCCTTATGTAAAAGACCGACGTCAAGACTATGAACTGATGAAGTCTTACAGGGGCTTAGGGGCTTTAAAGTGTGCCCCTATGAAGGGAAGGATGGCGGCGGCGGCAGCTCCATCCTCGAGCGCGAGGACAACAATCACAGTGAATAATCCCCGCCTTGATCTTACAGGAGAGAGGATTACAGCGAGGCCTTATCTGCAGCCTCACTTTGCCCCGACTGGACGCAAGACGACCGACACTAAAACCTCTGACCCGCACATGCACTCGCTGCTGCTTTTACAGCTTCAGGCTGCACTGCACATTTTAGATTCCCCAAAATCACACCCCATGTTCACTGTCTGAGCTTCACAGCTGCTCTGCTAATGCTGAGGCAATGTCATAAAATAAACTCAACATCAGCTGCTCCATCAAAAGCTTCCTGTTTAGAAGAAACCCAGCTGAGGGTTTTCTGGTCACTTTGTTCGACTTTGTGAAAGTTTTTTTTTTCCTACCTGGTTGTTTTGTACCAGTTTGTGTCTCTACAGTTTCTTTGCGGCTGTTTTTACATCCAGTTTGTGTCACTTTGTGGTTCTTTTGTGTCTATCTGGTTGCTTTCTATCATTTTGAGTTTTGTTGTGGTAATTTTGTGTCTCTTCGAGGTTGTGTTTCTGTCATTTTGTGTCACTTTCTTGTCATTTTGTGACTTGTGGTTCATCTTGCATCTGTTTGTGGTTGATTTTTGTCTATTTTCTATCAATTTGTGCTCATTTTGTGTCTCCTTCTGATCATTTTGTGACTCTTTGTGGTATTTTTTGGTTCATCTTGCATCTGTTTGTGGTTGATTTTTGTCTATTTTCTATCAATTTGTGCTCATTTTGTGTCTCCTTCTGATCATTTTGTGACTCTTTGTGGTAGTTTTTGGTTCATCTTACATCTGTTTGTGGTGATTTGTGCCTGTTTTCTATCAATTTGTGTTCATTTTGTGTCTCCTGATCACTTTGTGTCTCTTTGCAGTCGTTTTGTATCTATTTCTTGTCATTTTGTGTCATTTTGTTTCACTTTGTGATCGTTTTGTGTCTGTCTGGTGGCTTTGTATTGTTTTGTAGCTATTATATGTCTCTTTGTGGACATTTTGTGTCGACTCCTGGTAATTTTGTGTCTCTGTGGATGTGTTTGTGTCATTTTGTATCTATTTTTTGTCATTTTGTGTCTAACAGTGGCCATATTGCATGACTTTATGGTGTTACTATGTCAGTTCCTTGATTTTTTTTTGTGTCTTTTTGTGGTTGTTTGTGTGTTTTTGGGGTAATTGTGGGTCTCTCCGCTGAGCTCTGAGACTTTCTGACAAGAATCATCAAGTCTCTTCACACAGCGGCTGTGACCGAGGGGCCCGTCGCTGCCTCGCATTCTTGTTAACCATCATTAACAGTGACGCCTTAAAAAATGAGCGTTATTCTGAGTTCCACTAAAAAAAAAAGTGACAACAAAAACAGTCATTATGTCAGCGGCGAGCTCATCAGACGGTCACATGACTCCTGGAGGAAACAAAGTCGTCTTCTTCACGGTTTTTCGTGAAGTGGGAGCTTCCCAGAGACGATGCACCAGCTGGAGGGAAAAGCCCCCAACATGTGACTCCCTGAGTGGTCTTTTTCAGTCCCGACGTGTGACCTGATTGAACCAACATGAACCCAGGAAATGTCCAGTACTGCTCATTCATGCTCCACAAACACACAAAAGCCCTTTGATGCAGCTGCGTTGAGCTCTGAACTACAAGCGTTACCTCAGATAACATCAAGGATTTAAGCCGTTTGAACTTGTGATTTCTAATGGACTGTTTTTGCTGCGCTGTAAATCCACAGTGCACGTGGTGAAAACACTCCGACACCTGACGGCGTCCCCGGATGCGGAGGCGACGCTGTGAGCTCGCCGAGGGCTGCAGGTTTAGGTTATTTATGCTGCTTTTTAATCAAGTCAAAGTCCTTCACCAGCGATAAGCAACATGTCACTTTGTGGTCTTTATGCATCTATTTCTTGTCATTTTGTGTCACTTTGTGGTGATTTTCTGTGTCTTTGTAGTTTTTATGTCACCATTTCTTGTCATTATTCATCATATACACATATCATCATATATAGAGAAGGAAGCGCAAACGGTACGAGCGTAAACAAAGTGTATGTGGTTCATCCCCATGTGGTTGTTTTTAATATAATTGTGTTAATTTTGCATCTTGTTTTGGACATTTTGAGTGTGCTGTTGATCATTTTTGTCACATTTTTAGTATTGCTTTAGTAATTTTTTGTTTTATATTTGATTTTTTGTGTTAT